TAGACTAGACTAGACTAGACTAGACTAGACTATAGACTAGACTAGACTAGACTAGACTAGACTAGACTAGACTAGACTAGACTAGACTAGACTAGACTAGACTAGACTATAGACTAGACTAGACTAGACTATAGACTAGACTATAGACTAGACTAGACTATAGACTAGACTATAGACTAGACTATAGACAAGACTACAGACTAGACTATAGACTAGACTATAGACTAGACTATAGACTAGACTATAGACTGGACTATAGACTATACTATAGACTAGACTATAGACTAGACTATAGACTAGACTATAGACTAGACTATAGACTAGACTATAGACTAGACTATAGACTAGACTATAGACAAGACTATAGACTAATAGACTATAGACTAGACTATAGACTAGACTATAGACTAGACTATAGACTAGACTATAGACTAGACTATAGACTAGACTATAGACTAGACTATAGACTAGACTATAGACTAGACTATAGACTAGACTACTAGACTAGACTATAGACTAACTAGACTAGACTATAGACTAGACTAGACTGTAGACTAGACTAGACTAGACTAGACTAGACTAGACTAGACTAGACTAGACTAGACTAGACTAGACTAGACTAGACTATAGACTAGACTATAGACTAGACTAGACTAGACTAGACTAGACTATAGACTAGACTAGACTAGACTAGACTATAGACTAGACTAGACTATAGACTAGACTATAGACTAGACTAGACTATAGACTAGACTATAGACTAGACTATAGACTAGACTATAGACAAGACTACAGACTAGACTATAGACTAGACTATAGACTAGACTATAGACTAGACTATAGACTGGAACTATAGACTAGACTATAGACTAGACTATACTAGACTATAGACTAGACTATAGACTAGACTATAGACTGAGACTATAGACTATACTATAGACTAGACTATAGACTAGACTATAGACCTAGACTATAGACTAGACTATAGACTAGACTATAGACTAGACTATAGACTAGACTATAGACTAGACTATAGACTAGACTATAGACTAGACTATAGACTAGACTATAGACTAGACTATAGACTAGACTATAGACTAGACTATAGACTAGACTATAGACTAGACTATAGACTAGACTATGACAATAGACTAGACTATAACTAGACTATAGACTAACTATGACTAGACTATAGACTAGACTATAGAACTAGACTACTAGACTAGACAGACTAGACTAGACTATAGACTAGACTAGACTAGACATAGACTAGAACTAGACTAGACTAGACTATAGACTAGACTATAGACTAGACTATAGACTAGACTATAGACTAGACGATAGACTAGACTATAGACTAGACTATAGACTAGACTATAGACTAGACTATAGACTAGACTATAGACTAGACTATAGACTAGACTATAGACTAGACTATAGACTAGACTATAGACTAGACTATAGACTAGACTATAGACTAGATAATACTAGACTATAGACTAGACTATAGACTAGACTATAGACTAGACTATAGACTAGACTATAGACTAGACTATAGACTAGACTATAGGACTAGACTATAGACTAGACTATAGACTAGACTATAGGACTAGACTATAGACTAGACTATAGACTCAGACCTATAGACTAGACTATAGACTAGACTATAGCCCTAGGACTATAGACTAGGACTATAGGACTAGACTATAGACTAGACTAATAAGACTAGACTATAGACTAGACTTAGAGACTAGACTATAGACTAGACTATAGACAGACTATAACTAGACTATAGACTAGACTAATGAACTAGGACTATAGACTAGCTATAGACTAGACTATAGACTAGACTATAGACTAGACTATAGACTAGACTATAGAACTAGACTATAAGACTAGACTATAGACTAGACTATAGACTAGACTATACGACTAGACTATAGACTATAGACTAGACTATAGACTAGACTATAGACTAGACTATAGACTAGACTATAGACTAGACTATAGACTATAGACTATAGACTAGACTATAGACTAGACTATAGACTAGACTATAGACTAGACTATAGACTAGACTATAGACTAAACTATAGACTAGACTATAGACTAGACTATAGACTAAACTATAGACTATAGACTAGACTATAGACTAGACTATAGACTAACTATAGACTAGACTATAGACTAGATTATAGAGTAGACTATATATTAGACTCTAGACTAGACTATAGGTTAGACTATAGGTTAGACTACAGGTTAGACTATAGACTAGACTATAGACTAGACAATAGACTAGACTATAGACTAGACTATAGACTAGACTATAGACTAGACTATAGACTAGACTATAGACTAGACTATAGACTAGACTATAGACTAGACTATAGACTAGACTATAGACTAGACTATAGACTAGACTATAGACTAGACTATAGACTAGACTATAGACTAGACTATAGACTAGACTATAGACTAGACTATAGACTAGACTATAGACTAGACTATAGACTAGACTATAGACTAGACTATAGACTAGACTATAGACTAGACTATAGACTAGACTATAGACTAGACTATAGACTAGACTATAGACTAGACTATAGACTAGACTATAGACTAGACTATAGACTAGACTATAGACTAGACTATAGACTAGACTATAGACTAGACTATAGACTAGACTATAGACTAGGACTATAGACTAGACTATAGACTAACTAGACTAGACTATAGACTAGACTATAGACTAGACTATAGACTAGACTATAGACTAGACTATAGACTAGACTATAGACTAGACTATAGACTAGACTAGACTACTAGACTAGACTATAGACTAGACTATAGACTAGACTATAGACTAGACTATAGACTAGACTATAGACTAGACTATAGACTAGACTATAGACTAGACTATAGACTAGACTATAGACTAGACTATAGACTAGACTATAGACTAGACTATAGACTTAGACTATAGACTAGCTATAACTAGACTATAGACTAGACATATAACTAACTAGACATAGCTATAGACTAGACTAAGACTAGACTATAGAATAGACTATAGACGACTATAGACTAGACTATAGATAGACTCTAGAAGACTAGACTATAGATAGACTCTAGACTAGACTACAGACTATAGTATAGAAGAGGTTTTAACACTATTATTAGGTTTTTTTCATTACAGTCTTCATCTGGAGTTTGGAATAGTGGTCGAGTTGCCTGACATTTTGAGACATATTTAAATTTTTTTACATAATTGCATATATAGTAATTTGTTAAGTACTGTTTAAAAAGCGCTAAAATTTCTATTCAACCGGAACAAAGAATGTTGATTTAAAGCAGTCACGAGCAAAACTGAAATTCTAATGCACGCGTGCATAGGCCAAGAAATTCTGCTGACGCTTTGTTGACACACCTACACTATAAGCTTGTGTGTATTAGTGTTAGTGCTGTTAATATTCTACTACTTTTGATTACTCAATACTACTCAATACTTTTCGTTTGGGTACTCAATACTACTCGATACTTTTAACGGTTTTATTTTAAATTAAAAACAAGAAATTTTTCCTTTTTTTTAAGAGAAGTTAGACCAGACATCAATAAATATTTATAACTTTTTAACTATTATTGCAGTTTTTAAATTATTTTTAGATTGATTTGATATTGCTAAGAGTTGCATTTCTAATAATGATATGATCTGTATTAGTTGTAGAGCTGTATTTTTCACATCATAGCCGTTAAATTTAAATAAGTTAAATCCATATACAAGTTTGAAAGTATTGAGTAACTACTTTTTAGTATTGAGTACCCAAAAAATAGGGCAAATACTCGATACTCGATACCCACTACTCAATACTTTAACAGCACTAATTAGTGTGTCTGTGTTTTACTAAAATGACCACTTGTTTGTGGCTTTGTTACGATCTCAGAGATCAAAATCAAATCAGTTGCTGTTCAGCTTTTGTAGAAGCAAGATCACGTTGCGGATTTTTTTATGCTTATGATTTTTTCTCTTTTATTACACCTAGCAAAATGTTTGATATAAATTGGGAAAATGATTTCTTTTTTATAGAAAACATGGACGGTGAGGCACAATGCGTCGTATATTATAAAATTATATGTAGAAAAGCTTTATTTTTTTTGAAAAGGCATTATGAAACTTGTCATGGACCCTTAAATGACCTTAGGGGACATGACAGAAAAGTAAAGTTGTTGCAATTAAAAGGTTACCGATCAACACATTGGTGACTTATTGCGTATTAAGGAATATAAAGGAAACATTGATTTGGATAGATTAGTTGAACTTTAAATTAAGTTCAGTTAATATCTCGGTAATATCCCTTAAAAGTTCGAAATCGAATAGAAAGTCGTGATTTTCTTAATGATATTTCAGTAGTTTTATTTAATACTACTTTTTAAAAATACTACTACTTTTCTTAAATGAAAAACTCTTTCCCTTTATTCCATTTTTGTTTAAAATGCCCAAAAGTTCATGAGTTTTTCTCGTCGTAAAAAGTATTTGCAATAGAAAACAAATTTCAAAACTTTTCTCAGTGTACCACCATTTTGTTATAACGTGCAGTCATCTCTCTGCTGCTTAACGCACACAAATATACACATGGTGGTATGTGTTTGCCCATGACTGATTTAAAGTGTAAATATTACAGTGGTGTGAGAGATCAATATAAATATTGAAAAAGTAAGATAAACTAGTTTTTAAACAAATATTAATAAATTAACAAAAGAATTTATCTATGTGTTAGCACAATGGCTCGAATTATAACAAACTATAATAATTTTTAAAGAAAAATCTGCTGTTAAAGGAAATTTAACTACAAATGAAGAACAGGTTTCTTAGATTATTTAACACTTATATAAGTAACACCTAATATCCTTAAGTATTTTAATATTTTTTCAACAATTTTTTTAACAAATATTTAATATAAAATTTTTTCTTCTTTCCCCCCCCTTTTTCCCTATTTAAATAGAATTTAGTCTACTCACCGGCAAAATTACGACGTGTTCGTATAATACTATGTGTAGTTGGTGGTATTGTACTGTTGGCACTCTTGGGTACAGCAATCTACTTTATAGTAAGTGGCTCAGAAGATGGCACGAATAGTGGTGGTAATGGTAATGGAGGACCCTCGAATGGCATCCACTTAGAGGATGTACTACAAGGTAAATTAGTGGCAAGACATTTTAATGGCAGTTGGAGCGGCAATAATATTATCTACAAAGAGAATAATGTAAGTTTTAAACAAGTATAGACAGGAAATGAACATATTTTCAAAATGCTACTAAAAGAATTTTCAAAATTTTCAGGCCATTATGGAGTATAATGTGTTGACGAAAAAGAGTACACGGCTGCTGTTGGACACGTTTGTAAGTGTTGTTAGAATCTTATAGCTCTAGAGAAAAAATGAGTTTTTAAATTATTTTCAACTTTATATAAATTAACCTTTTAATATTCTTTTAATTTAGCAACAATATATATTATTTGAAAAATCAGCCGATGGCACTTATTTGTTATTGGCCAAAAATTACAAAAAGAATTTCCGTCATAGTTTTCTGGCTGAATATGATATTTATGATATTGCTACGGGCCAAGTAAAACCCTTGGAAATACAAAAACAAACCAAACCTTTAATAATGGTACAATGGGCTCCCGTTGGCAATGCCTTGATTATTAACTACGAACGTAATCTGTATTATAAACCTACTGCATTTGCTGATGAAATCGCCTTAACCGATGATACAAATGAGGCCATTTTGAATGGTATACCCGATTGGGTTTATGAAGAGGAGGTCTTCTCTTCTAACTCCGCTGTTTGGTTTAGTCCCGATGGCAAAAAATTAGCCTTTATACAGTTCGATGATAGTCCCACACATGTTATAAATTTCCCCATTTATGGTGAAGCCGCTGATCTACGTTTCCAATATCCCTACAATCGTTTGGTAGCCTATCCAAAAGCCGGTTCTCCAAATCCTCGAGTAAAACTATTTACTTCGGATTTGGATAGGGCAGCTGCGGGTAATACGGATCATTTGACTGAAATCCCTGTACCAAGTGCTCTAAATACCGAAGGTGATTATATCATAACGGTTGTGGATTGGTTGAATAATACGAATGTCTTGTCGGTGTGGATGAATCGTATACAGAATCAGGCTCATGTGCAGATCTTTAATGGTTTGAGGAGACAAAATGTAAGTCGAATTATTTTTTGGTTTTTAATTTTCTTCTTTTTTCTTTTAACATTTAACATTACACGTTTTCCCTTTTATGACGCACTCACTGACATATTTGAACCATGTAAATTACATAATTGTGTAAATATTTTTTTACATTATAACTAAGATCGCTTGTTAATCAGTCAGAAGCTCGCAATTTGACCTTAAATCGAAATCTAGTCGAAAGTCTAGCAAAATCAAGCCGAACATCTAGAATAACTTTAACAACACTTTTAAAGTCTTGTCCAAAAGCTAGTCGTATTTATAATGGCTAGTCTAAAGTCTAGATGGACATTTAGTCGAACGTCTAGTATAAAGTCTAGTCAAAAATTTGGCCTAATGTTAAGTATAAAAAATAGTCTAAAGTGCAGTCTAAAGTCTAGTCTAATGTCTAGTATGGGGTTTAATGTAAGGAATAGTATAAAGTATAGTCTAAAGTCTATTCTAAAGTATGGTCTAAAGTATGGTCTAAAGTCTAGTCTAAAGTCTAGTCTAAAGTTTAGTCTGAAGTGCAATCTAAAGAATAGTCTAAAGTCTATCGTAAAGTTTAGTATAATGTATAGTATAAGTTTAGTCAAAATTGAAATCTAATGTTTAGTCTATAGTTTAGTCTAAAGTTTAATATAAAGTTTAGTCTAAAGCCTAGTCCATAGTCAAGTCTAAAATCTAGTCTAAAGTCTAGTGTAAAGTCTAGTCTAAAGTCTAGTCTAAAGTCTAGTCTAAAGTCTAGTCTAAAGTCTAGTCTAAAGTCTAGTCTAAAGTCTAGTCTAAAGTCTAGTCTAAAGTCTGGTCTAAAATCTAGTCTAAAATCTAGTCTAAAGTGTAGTCAAAAATCTAGTCTAAAGTATAGTCTAAAGTCTACTCTAAATTCTAGTCTAAAATCTAGTCTAAAGTCAAGTCTAGTCTAAAGTCAAGTCTAGTCTAAAGTCAAGTCTAGTCTAGTCTAAAGTTTAATATAAAGTTTAGTCTAAAGTCTAGTCTCAAGTCTAGTTTCAAGTCTAGTCTAAAGTTTAGTCTAAAGTCTAGTCCATAGTCAAGTCTAAACTGTAGTCTAAAGTCTAGTTTAAAGTCTAGTCTAAAGTCTAGTCTAAAGTCTAGCCTAAAGACTAGTCTAAAGTCCAGTCTAAAATCTAGTCTAATGTATAGTCTAAAGTCTATTCTAAAGTAGTCTAAAGTCCAGTCTAAAATCTAGTCAAAAGTCTATTCTAAAGTATGGTCTAAAGTCTAGTCTAAAGTCTAATCTGAAGTCTAGTCTAAAGTCTAGTCTAAAGGCTAGTCTAAAGTCTATTCTAAAGTTTAGTTTAAAGTCTAGTTTTAAGTCTAGTCTAAAGTATAGTCTTAAGTCTAGTCTAAAGTCTAGTCTTAAGTCTAGTCTTAAGTCTAGTCTAAAGTTTAGTCTTAAGTCTAGTCTAAAGTCTAGTCTTAAGTCTAGTCTATAGTCTAGTCTTTAGTCTAGTCTGAACTCTACTCTAAATTCTAGTCTAAAGACAAGTCTGAAGTCTAGGCTAAAGTCTAGTCTAAAGTCTAGTTTCAGGTCTAGTCTAAAGTTTATTCTAAAGCCCAGTCTAAAGTCCAGTCTAAAGTCCAGTCTAAAGTCCAGTCTAAAGTCTAGTCGTAAGTCTAGTCTAAAGTCCAGTCTAAAGTCTAGTCTAAAGTCTCGTCTGAAGTCTACTCTAAATTCTAGTCGGAAGTCTAGTCTAAAGTCCAGTCTAAAGTCTAGTCTTAAGTCTAGTTTCAATTCTGGTCTAAAATTATTTTAAAGTCTAGTCAAAAGTCAAGTCTAGTCTAAAGTTTATTCTAAAGTCTAGTCTAGTCTAAAGTCCAGTCTAAAATCTAGTCTAAAGTCTACTCTAAATTCTAGTCTAAAGACATGTCTGAAGTCTAGTCTAAAGTCCAGTCTTAAGTCTAGTTTCATGTCTACTCAAAAGTTTATTCTAAAGTCTAGTCCAAAGTCAAGTATATTCTAAAGTCTAGTCAAAAGTCTAGTCTAATGTCTAGTCTAAAGTCTAGTCTAAAGTCTAGTCTAAAGTCTAGTCTAAAGTCTAGTCTAAAGTCTAGTCTGAAGTCTAATCTAAAGCCTAGTCTAAAGTCCAGTCTAAAGTCTTGTCTAAAGTCTCGTCTAAAGTCTCGTCTAAAGTCTACTCTAAATTCTAGTCTAAAGACAAGTCTGAAGTCTGATCTAAAGTTTGGTCTAAAGTCTAGTCTTAAGTCTGGTCTAAAGTCTAGTCAAAAGTCTACTCTAAAGTAAGTATAAAGTCTGGACCATAGTTGAGTTTATAGTCTGGTCTAAAGTCTAGTCTAAACTCAACCCCTAAGTCTCTCTAAAGGGTAATCTAAAGTCTAGTCAAAAATTTAGTCTAAAGTCTGGTCTAAAGGCTTGCCTAAAGCCAAGTCTATAGTCTGGTCTAAAGAGTAGTGTAAACTTTTTTCTAAAGAGTAATCAAAAGTTATTCATATAGTAAGAAATCTGAATGCTACTCAAAAGTCTAGTTTAAGGTCAAGTCTGAAGTTCAGATGAAAACCCCTTCTCCTGCTTATCTAAAATACATAATATTCATTCCACTTTAAATCATTTACCCTGCTTTTGTAGCTAGTTCCCCTTTACTTCTATTTGTTGCTGATCATTTCCTATAAAGTAGAGTTTTGAAGCTTAAATCCTTCATCATGCCTGAATCCACACTTAGTTTGCCTACATTTCCCTAAACCTTCACTAACTTTGAACAACAACTCAAAGATCTGCAGATAAGATCTATGATCTTTAAACAAGATCAAAATAAAAACTATCGACTGAACAGTTCGCATTCGTCGATCAATACCATAACCACAAAAAAATGAACTAAGTGCAGGCTCTCCATAGGTAATGGTAACGTAGATTTCCACTGACAACTAACAGCGCCCTTCAAAGTGTATATACAGTTAAAAGTAAAACTTTTAAAAGGGAAATAATAATTCTTTAATATAATTTCTTTTATAATTTTTAACTACTTTAGACCTATAGCTTAATCTCCAAAACCGGTTGGGTAGATTTCTTTGCAACCCCCTTCAAAAATCGTGATGGCACCCGTATTGCCTTTATAATGCCTCAGCCACAGGAAAACAGTGGTGAATATCGCCATTTATGTGTTTTATCGACAGCATCTAGTACCGGTAAACCAGAACCTTTGACTAAAGGCAAATATGTAGTAACCTCGATATTACACTGGGACCCCACAAACGATATTATTTTCTATACAGCCAATTTACCCAATAAACCCGAACAATTGCATGTCTATGCCATTAAAGCAGCAACTGGACAAACTGCCAAATGTTTAACTTGTAATCTACATAAATCGAATGGTGAGTAAATGAATCGGGAGGGGTCGGGCATGATAGTTTTTATATATAACATTTTTGCTGTATTTTAGGTGTGGAACAAACTTATTATTCAGCCGATTTTAATACCAAACATGAAGTTATCATAACTTCTTTGGGACCAAGCATACCTCAGACCGTTGTTTATGAATGGTCTTATTCGAACAGTAAGTCTAGCTTTTCTAAGCCCTTTGTTTTATAATTCCCTATTTAAATCATTTTATACATTTCCCTATTAAGATCAAGTAAATTTAAATAAAATCGTCACCTGGGAAGATAATGAAAACTTGAGAAAAGCTTTAAGTAATTATGATTTGCCCACAATGGAAATACATTCGATACCTATAGCCGATGGTTTCACAGCTAAAGTTCTATTACAACTGCCCCCCAATATGGATCGTAGCGGTAAAACAAAATATCCCATGTTAGTTGATGTTTATGGTGGTCCCGATTCCTATTCGGTAAGTAAATCTAATAAAATAAAAATTATCACATAATTTCTTAGTTTTATGGTTCCTTTATCTTTTCTTATCTTAATACAGGTTATTGATAGATGGATTGTGGACTGGGGTACATATCTTACATCAAATCAATCTGTGATCTATGCTAAAATCGATGGCCGCGGTTCAGGCTTAAGAGGTGAAAAACTATTGCATTCCGTTTATTTGAAATTGGGTACCGTAGAAATAGCTGATCAAATTGATGTCACCAGGTAGGCGAAGACTCAAAACCTTAATTTTTTTCCAAAGGAATATTCTTTTTACTAACTTAAAATTTTGACCAAATTTTATATATATATTTTTTTTACAAAATCTTTTTTCTTCTACTTTTTCTATAGACAATTGCAAGAGAAATTCAATTTTATCGATGCCAATCATACCGGTATTTGGGGTTGGAGTTATGGTGGTTATGCTGCTGCCATGGCCTTGGCCAATGATGAAAAACATGTATTCCGTTGTGCCGCTTCCATAGCTCCCGTTACCGATTGGACTTATTATGGTGAGTATGATTAATACTAAACTTTTAACCAAATTTCTGATTTCATAAGACTTTAAACTAGACTTAGTCTATAGTCTAGTTTAGACCAGACCTTAGAATAGACTTTGGACAACACTTTGAACAAAGCTTTAAAACTAGACTTTATACTAAACTTCTGACCGGACTTTACACTAAACTCTATACCTGACCTCAGACTAGTCTTTAGACAAGACCTTGGCCTAGACTCTAGACTAGACTTTAGACTAGACTTTAGATTAGACTCTAGATTAGACTTTAGATTAGAATAGACCAGACTTTAGATTAGACTTTGAACTAGACTTTAGATTAGACTTAAGACTAAACTTTAGACTAAATTTTAGAATAGACTTTAGACTAGACTTTAGACTAGATTAGACTTTAGACCTGATTTTAGATTAGACCTTAGACTAGACTTTAGACTAGATTAGACTTTAGACCTGATTTTAGATTAGACCTTAGACTAGACTTTGGATTAGACTTAAGACTAGACTTTAGACTAGACTTTAAACTAGACTTTAGACTAGACTTTAGACCTGACTTTAGATTAGACTTTAGACTAGACCTTGGCCTAGACTCTAGACTAGACTTTAGACTAGACTTTAGATTAGACTCTAGTTTAGACTTTAGATTAGAATAGACCAGACTTTAGATTAGACTTTGAACTAGACTTTAGATTAGACTTAAGACTAAACTTTAGACTAAATTTTAGAATAGACTTTAGACTAGACTTTAGACTAGATTAGACTTTAGACCTGATTTTAGATTAGACCTTAGACTAGACTTTGGATTAGACTTAAGACTAGACTTTAGACTAGACTTTAAACTAGACTTTAGACTAGACTTTAGACCTGACTTTAGATTAGACTTTAGACTAGACTTTAGGCCAGACTTTAGATTAAACTTCAGACTAGACTTTAGACTAGACTTTAGATTAGACTTTAGACTAGATTAGACTGTAGACTAGACTTTAGACTAGGCTTTCAATTAGACTTTAGACTAAACTTTAAACTAGACTTGAGAGAAGACTTTAGACTAGACTTATTCCACACTTTAGACTAGACTTTAGACCAGACTTTAGATTAGACTTCAGTCTAGACCTTAAACTAAACTTTAGACTGGACTTTAGACTAGACTATAGACTAGACTTTAGACTAAAGTTTAGACTTGACTAGATTTTAGACTAGACTTTAGACTAAACTTTAGACTAGACTTGAGACTAGACTTAAGACTAGACTTTAGCCTAGACTTAAGACTAGACTTAATACTAGACTTTGGTCTAGACTTTAGACTAGACTTTAGATTAGACTTTAAACTAACCTTTAGACTAGACTTTAGATTAGACTTTAGACTAGACTTTCGACTAAACTTTAGAATAGACTTTAGACTAGACTTTAGACTAGACTTTAGACTAGACTTTAGACTAGACTTTAGACTAGACTTTAGACTAGACTTTAGACTAAACTTTAGACTAGACTTTAGACTAAAGTTTAGACTAGACTTGAGACTAGACTTTAGCCCAGACTTAAGACTAGACTTTAGACCAGACTTTAGATTAGACTTTAGTCTAGACATTAGTCTAGACTTAGGCTAGACTTTAGATTAGACTTTAGACTAGACTTTAGACTAGACTTTAGACTAGACTTTAGACTAGACTTTAGACTAGACTTTAGACTAGACTTTAGACTAGACTTTAGACTAGACTTTAGACTAGACTTTAGACTAGACTTTAGACTAGACTTTAAACTAGACTTTAGACTAGACTTTAGACTAGACTTTAGACTAGACTTTAGATTAAACTTTAGACTAGACTTTAGACTAGATTTTAGACTAGACTTTAGACTACACTTTAGACTAGACTATAGACTAGACTTTAGACTAGATTTTACACTAGACTTTAGACTACCATTTAGACAAGACTTTACCTAAACTTTAGATTACACTTTCGACTGCACTTTAGAAAAGACTAGACTTTAGACTGGAGTTTAGATTAGACTTTAGACTAGACTTTAGACTAAACTTTAGACCAGACTTTACCCAAACTTTAAATTGCACTTTAGACTAGACTTTAGAATAGACTAGACTTTAGACGAGAGTTTAGATTAGTCTTTAGACTAGACTTTAGACCAGACTTTAGATTAGACTTAAGACTGGACTTTAGACTAGACTTCAGTCTAGACTTTATATTAGACTTTAGACTAGACTTTAGTCTAGACTTTACACCAGACTTTAGACCAGACTTTATACTAGACTATTACTAGACTTTAATCTTACATTAGGCTATACCATAGACTAGTCTACTCTTAGACTTTAGACTACACTTGAAATTCCTTTGTTTTTAAAACTCCATTTGTTATATTCTTTCCTTTCAGATTCCATTTATACTGAACGCTACATGGGACTGCCCACCGTCAATGAATTGGGCTATGCCGCCTCCCGCTTGAGTACCAAAGCAACACAATTAAAAGGCAAAAAATTCCTTTTGGTACATGGTACCCTAGATGATAATGTACACTATCAACAGGCCATGATATTAGCCAAGAATTTGGAGAGACACGATATACTGTTCAAGCAAATTGTAAGTAGAATTTTATATACGTTTTTTATTAAATTTTAGGAGTAGAGGAATAAGGGACTTAAATTTACTTTTGATTTGTTTTTTATTTTTTTTTTCCATTTTATAATTTTTTTTTATTATTTTTATACCCTTTTTAGAGTTATCCCGATGAGGATCATGCTTTAGCCGGTGTACGACCCCATTTATATCATTCTCTTGATAGATTCTTTGGCGATTGTTTCGCCCAACCCCGTATGGCCCATAGTAAATAGAAAACTAACAAAAGCTTAAACAAAAAAAAAAAACTAAAACATATAAATTAATCTTAACAACAACAAAAAACATGCCATTTTATTAATGATCAATTATAAGAGGAGTGATAGTTAAGCCGCCAAAAAAGAAATTACCCCCCAAAACAAACGTAAAACAATGCCCCCGCTTCAAAAAAAAGTAAAAAATATTGTACTTATACATACAATACGAAAAAAATTTAAATATTATTATTAAATTATTAAAAAACAACAACAACAAAATATTAACACAATTAAAAAAAGCATTTAACTTGTTAAACATTTTATAAAACCCGTATAGGCATTTGTAGTTTTTTTTATTAGTAAACAAAAAATTTAAATAAATTAAGCTTAACAAAAACAAAACAATAATTATTAACAACAACAACAACAACAAAAGAAACTCCTCATAGTAGTTGGGTGCCTAAAAGAAATTTAGTTTTTAATATGAAAAAAAAAAAAATATTTAAATAACAGCAACAAAACAAAAACTTCAAATTTTATATTATAATAGTAAATAAAAAAAAATAACAAATTAATAATATTTTTGCATTATATAAAGTAGTAAATTATAGATTTATAAATAAATTAGAAGAAAATTGTATAAAAAAAATCAAAAATTGTAAATCGTCAAAACATTCTTATTTATTTATATTTTTAATATTAAATAATAAACAAAGCATTATTAAACAAAAGAAGAAGCAATTTAAAGAAATACATATTTTTCTAGTAAAATAATTAAGATTATAAAGAAAAATGTTTTTTTGTAAAAATATATTTATAAAATAAGTTTGCCAAACTAGAGAGAATATTTAAATTAACTTTCCCAAAAACCAAAAATTGAAATAAGAAAATTATGAAAGAAATTGTGTAAAGATTTTGAAATCATTTCTTAGTTTTTTTTTAAAGTTTAAATAAAATTTTTCTATTTATGTAAACATTTAGGAATGAAAATAGAAGAATTTTAAAGTTTTTTAAAGAAATTTTTGATAACTATAACGGTTCTCTATAGACTAGACTAGCCTATAAACTAGACTATAAACTGGATTATAGACTAGACTATAAACTAATCTTTAGACTATACTAGGCTGACTACGGGCTAGACAGACTATAGACTAGATTATAGACTAGACTATAGACTAGTTATAGACTAGACTAAGACTCTATAGACTAGACTATACTAGACTACAGACTAGACTATAGACTAGACTATAGACTAGATATAGACTAGATATGACTAGACTATAGACTAGACTATAGACTAGACTATAGACTAGACTATAGACTAGACTATAGACTAGACTATAGACTAGACTAGACTAGACTATAGACTAGACTATAGACTAGACTATAGACTAGACTATAGACTAGACTATAGACTAGACTATAGACTAGACTATAGACTAGACTATAGACTAGACTATAGACTAGACTATAGACTAGACTATAGACTAGACTATAGACTAGACTATAGACTAGACTATAGACTAGACTATAGACTAGACTATAGACTAGACTATAGACTAGACTATAGGCTAGACTATAGACTAGACTATAGACTAGACTATAGACTAGACTATAGACTAGACTATAGACTAGACTATAGACTAGACTATAGACTAGACTATAGACTAGACTATAGACTAGACTATAGACTAGAATAGACTGACTATGACTAGACTATAGACTAGACTATAGACTAGACTATAGACTAGACTATAGACTAGACTATAGACTAGACTATAGACTAGACTATAGACTAGACTATAGACTAGACTATAGACTATACTAGACTATAGACTAGACTATAGACTAGACTATAGACTAGACTATAGACTAGACTATAGACTAGACTATAGACTAGACTATAGACTAGACTATAGACTAGACTTAGACTACTATAGGACTATAGACTAGTAGACTATAGACTAGACTATAGACTAGACTATGACTAGACTATAGACTAGACTATAGACTAGACTATAGACTAGACTATAGACTAGACTATAGACTAGACTATAGACTAGACTATAGACTAGACTATAGACTAGACTATAGACTAGACTATAGACTAGACTATAGACTAGACTATAGACTAGACTATAGACTAGACTATAGACTAGACTATAGACTAGACTATATACTAGACTATAGACTAGACTATAGACTAGACTATAGACTAGACTATAGACTAGACTATAGACTAGACTATAGACTAGACTATAGACTAGACTATAGACTAGACTATAGACTAGACTATAGACTAGACTATAGACTAGACTATAGACTAGACTATAGACTAGACTATAGACTAGACTATAGACTAGACTATAGACTAGAGACTATAGACTAGACTATAGACTAGACTATAGACTAGACTATAGACTAGACTATATAGACTATAGACTAGACTATAGACTAGACTATAGACTAGACTATATAGACTTAGACTAGACTATACTAGACTATAGACTAGACTATAGACTAGACTATAGACTAGACTATAACTAGACTAAGACTAGACTAAACTAAAGGCTAGACTATAGACTAGACTAAACTAAAGGCTAGACTATAGACTGGTCTTTAGACTAGACTATAAACTAATCTATAGACTAGACTATAGAATAGACTATAGACTTGACTATAGACTATACCATAGACTAGACTATAGATTAGATTAAACTAAAGGCTAGACTATAAACTAGACTTTAGACTAGACTATAAACTAATCTACAGACTATACTAGAGGCTAGACTTTAGACTAGTCCATATTCTAGATCATAGACTATTCTATAGGCTAGACTTTAGACTAGCCTATAAACTAGACTATAGACTAGACTATATTCTAGATTATAAACTGTACTATAGACTACACATTAGACTAGACTATAGCCAAGACTATAAACGAGACTATAGCCAAGACTACAGGCTAAACTATAGACTAGACTAGTCTTTAAACTAGACTATAGACTAGACTATATACTAGACTATAGACTTAACTTTAGACTAGACTATATACTAGTTCATAGACTGGACTGTATAATAGACTAAAAACAGGACTATAGACTAGACTATAGACTAGACATTAGACTGCACTGTAGACTATATAAAAGACTATATACTAGCCTATATACTAGGCTAGAGACTATACTATAGACTAGAATATAGACTAAACTATAGATTCTAATCTACAGACTAGACTATAGATGAAACTATAGCCTATACTATAGATGAGACTATAGACTACGCCAGACTTTAGGCTAGACTATAGAATAGACTATAAAATAGTCTATAATCTAGTCTATTCTATTCAGTCTAGTCTATAGTGTAGTCTATTGTCTAGTACATAGTCTAGTCTATAGTCTATTCTATGTTATTGTATATATCCTTGTTTATAGTAAACTATTATATAGACTATAGTGTAGTCTATAGTCCAGGCTATAGTCTAGTGTGAAGTCTAGTCTACAGTCTACTCTAAAGTCTAGTCGATACCAAATATATAGATTAGTCTATAGTTTGGATTATAGTCTAGTCTATGGTTTGTTCTATAGTTTAGTCTATAGTGAAGTCCATAGGCTAATCTATAGTCTAGTTTATTGTCCGATCTACCGTCTGGTCTGTAGTCTAGTCTATGGTCTATTCTATGGTCTACTCCATAGTCTAGTCTATAGTCACTTTTATATTCTAGTCTTTAGTCTAGTCTTTAGTCTAGTCTTTAGTCTAGTCTTTAGTCTAGTCTGTAGTCTAGTCTATGGTCAATTCTATAGTCTACTTTATAGTCTACTCTACAGTCTAGTATATATTCTGCTCTATATTCTATTCGATAGTCTACTCTATATTTTAGTCTATAGTGTACTCTGCAATCTAGTCTATAGTCTAATCTATAGTTTATTCTATGCTCTTGTCTATGGTCTATTCTATAGTTTACTCTATATTCTAGTCTGTGGTCTATTCTATAATCTTTCTCTATAGTCTAATCTATAGTCTACTTTATATTCTAGTATATAGTCATTCTATAGTCTTGTCTGTAGTGTAGTCTATAGTGTAGTCTATAGTTTAGTCTATGGTCTAGTCTATGATCTATTTTATAGTTTACTCTATAATTTACTCTATAGTCTAGTCTATAGTTAAAATTTTAGAAAATCTACTGCAAATATGTTTAGAAACATCTTTCTATAAATATTTCCAAAAAACTACTTTCCAAAATCAACTCTGCTATTTCCAAATCTTGTCTATTTACTTTATTTTCAAATTTAAAAAAATTCTGTTAATTTCTTAAAAAAAAAAACTAAGAAAAATCTTACACAATTTCAAAGTCTATTTCAAAACTTTTCAACAACCTAAACTACACTACTTTCTGGCCTCAAAAAACCAATCCTGCTCTTGCTAAAACTCCTCTATTTCCTTTAATTTATAAATTTTAACAAAAAACTTGGTATAATTTCTTTTAAAAAAATATAAACGAAAAGAAAAACCAAAACTTTCAACTATTCTTCAAAATTTTAGCAAATTAAATTTTAAAAACTCTACCCAAATCTACCTTCTACAACTCTATAAAAAAAACTATTTTAAATTTCCTTTTAAAAATTTCCCTATTTTACACTTTTTCTTTCAAAATAAAATGTTAAATTTTAAATTTTCTTATCCTTTTTTTCTTTTAAAAAAAAGTGCCAAATTACATTTATCAACGAAATTTAATTAAAAATTTTAACAATTCCCCTTTTTATTGCCAAAATTTTTTTTTGTAAAATTTACTATTTATTTATTATTACTAAAAAAAATTTTTAACTAACATATTTTTGCTTGTGTAAAATTTTGCTTTTATATAGAGTATAAAAAACAATAACAAAATGTAGGAGGTTCTTTAAAATTTTATAAATTTAAATTTTTGTAGAGCTATTTATTTATATATTTTAAAAAACAAATCAAAACAACTTTATCTTTTATTATAAATTAAGTTTTATTTTATTAAGAGAAGATTGTATTTGTAATTTTAAAATATCAAAAAGAAATAAATAAATTATCAGCAAAAAAAAAAAAACAAAGTTTTCAACACAAAAATTTATTTAAAAAGAAAAAGAACCTTAAGAAGAGTCTTGGTTTGAAAGCAAAAGTGAAGAAATTTTCAAAATTTTCTTTACTATTGCTATTTCAAACTGGTCTGGTCATCTGGCGCCTCAATTGTACATAATTTATACATTTGTTTAAATTTTATTATACTTCTATTTAAAGAAAAAACTCTTTTATATTTTGTTAAATTTTGCCGAAAGTAAAACTCAAATCAAAAGAAACAAAACAAACGCAAGAAAATTTATATTTAAAAAAAAAATAAGAAATTGTTATATTTTTATCCTATTAAAACTTAAGTACATTGTAAAAGAATAACACACAAAAGAAGAATTTAATACAATAAATTAAAAAGAGAAGAAAATTTAAATCAAATAAAACAATAAAAGAAATCAAATAAATAAAATAATATAGTAGTAAAATAAATAAAAAACGATTTTTAATTGGTAACAGAAGCAAGCCAACTATC